GCGGCTAGGTCATGGCAAAATGCGCAAAAAGTTGGAGACAAAACAGAGCCATATCGCTCGGTTACAAACCCACTATCCCTACCGCCGCATGCGGTGATGTGCTTCACGGATGCATCTTGGTTACCGTCGACAAAAGACAGCGGTATAGGATGGTGTTTTAAGGATGCGAACTCGAAGATATTGAGTGAAGCATCGTCCTCTAGGAGGAATGTGGCCTCTGCTTTGATAGCGGAANCCTTAGCTCTAAAAGCGGCTCTAATTGCAGCTAAATCAGCGGGNTACAAAGCTCTTACTTGCTTTTCGGACTCCCTCTCGCTTGTCACTCTAGTTAACTCGAATAGGGTGATAAACGAGTTGAAATCTTTACTATACGACATTTCTTGTCTTAGAAAGGATTTCACTTCTATCTCTTTTGCTTTTATTCCACGTTCGGCAAATGCTTTAGCTGATACGTTGGCCAAGTTTGGTATTGTAACGTTGAACAATGTCTCATAGTTTGAGAACTTAATATAATATAAGTCGGTTTGATCAAAAAAAAAAAAATACTATCTATGTAAATTCAAAAATCGCACAATGATCCCACCGGTCTCTTCCATCTATTGGTTCACGGAATGTTGATATCTCTTAATTAACTTTTGGAATGAAATGAAATTCCATGCATTTAACTCGGGATTCAAAAATCTATAATATTTATGTAAATTCTAATGTTACTCGTATTATACAATCTATGCAACAACAAAAACGCAAAGTAGCACAATCATCTCATTCCTTCATGCACCAATGATCGCACACCGGTCTCTTTCATCTCTTGATACACAAAGTCGAGGATCGGATTAGAGAATCACGGAAGAAGCAACGTCGTCGAGACAAATTCCGGCTTAACTCCAAATCGCAAACTCATGATTAACATTTAGTAGTCACTTCCTCTAGTTAATTAATAAATTACAAGCCATGACTTGCGAGACGCACAATCACACGACCGTTACAGGACGGGCCATTCCACCGGACAAACCACCTAGAAGATCATTGTAGTTCAACATAGAAACCCTAGGCTTCACCGGCGGCACCCAATTCTCCGGTTCCGTCGTCTCTGAAACCGCCGCTTCCAAAGAGCTCGATCTATCGCACGTGCCAAGCCACTTGGCTTGCATGTACTTGTGTTTTCTCCAAGGACCCATATGCATTTTCTTGTCTCTCAAGCATCTCTTTCCCGCAAGGCACAATATCTTGATCAGAGATCGAAGTCTCTCTGTTTTTCCGACGTAAACTTCCGGCAATCGACCAATGAGTCTCTTGTAATCTTCACTGCCTTTAGCAATCTCGAACTCAGCCCTAAACGATAACTCGATCACCACTCGCATCTCTCCTTTCTTCGAACCCGATCGGTCCACGATCTCTATGTATTCATGTTCCCCTGATTTTAATTAAAAATAAAAATATGAGTCAGCCCAAATATTTCATCTAGGTACTC